AGTCTGTCTCTGAGGAGGAAGAATAGGGTGATGATAAGCTGCTGAGGGGCTCAGGCTACTGGTTGCTAAGTTGATGAAGAAGATGTGATGCTATTTTAAACTTTACTGGTTGAGATTTTTTTTTGTTTTTGTGATAGCATGAATTTTTTGTGATGCTCTTCATGAGCAGTTTTTGTTTGTAATAACCCTAAACATGTGTAATGTTACTCATTATGATCCAGACTATTTTATTAGTTTGATCTTAATTTGTGGCTAAAAAGGGGGAGAGAGTGTGGTAGATAACAGCCAGCAGGTTAGAGATGATGCAGGTGGAAGACTCTTGGCTGAATTGCTGCTACAAGTATGTTGCAGGTACGTGACAAGGGCTGTAGCAAATATGCATGATTGAAGATTTTGCTAATGTATTTGTGTGATAACAGGTGATGTTGTTAGTGATGTGTGAGTTCCTAATAAGTATAGGAATGTATGTTAGATTTATGTGTGTTCCTTGATGGAACCTAGTAGCTTTATAGCTGCTAGTGTTGTGTGTATCTGCAGGATGATTGCAGAAGGTTGTGCATCTCTTCAGGGGGAGTAGCACAGGTTGTTCCACAGCAGGTGTGCTTCAGGATGTCATCCTGAATGTCATAACATCCAGAGCAGGCTGGATGAATATGTGTGACTGCAGGGGGTCTGCAGGTTTTGTACAGCTGGTGTGATATGCATCAGTTGAGGGGGAGTAAATTCTGATATGTTACTCAACAAATTATGACATATGTAGTGTTGACTAACATATGGTATTGTGAACAGGTCGATCCTGAGAGCTAACAGTGTGAGTGTGTGTAGACAACACTGTTTGTGTAGCTTTCCTGCATGGTAGGTTAAGACTTCTGCTGCTTATAAACTCTGATATATTAACAGGGTGTTTTAGCCAAAAATTAGTCAAAGGGGGAGTTTGTAAGTGCTTTTGATTGGCTGCATTTTATGGCAAAACATTAATGTATGAGTAAATGTCATAACTGATGTTAGGACATACATGAATAGTCTTATGCAAGGAAAGCTAAGAGTAAGTGAAGCTGAATGTCATGACTGAATGTTATGACATTGATCGTATGACATCAGGGCGTGCAGGTTTGTTTTTCTGTTATTAGCTCAGGCTATACTTCAGGAAATAATCCAGAAAGCAGAGTTATTTTAGGCAACATAACATGCATTGTTGAGGATAAAATAGAAGGCTCATGACCTAATGATAAGTGCGCAGCTTCATGAAGAATGGTTTATCTTGGGTAAACCTAAATTCTCTACCAAGGCCCAAAACAGGTCTGCTATTATAAATAGTAGAAGGATCATTCCTAATGGGCAGACACACAGAGGAGAGAGCATCTAGTGAGAGATCATAGAGTGTGAGTGAAGAACAGTGTTCTTCACGTGAGTCTAGGAGTATTAGGATTCCTTGTGTGCCAAACAATTGTATGCTGTAGAATTGTTGTTGTTATTTTGTATGAACAGGTGTGTTCATTGAGTCACTCAAAGCTGTTAAGCAAGAGTGTGTGTTCCTTGATCAAAGCTATGAAGAAAGATCAAGGTGTGTTTGAAGTTTACCTTCATATTGAGTTTGTAATTGTGTATTGATATCACTGAGGTGATTGAGGGGGAGTGAGTGGGTATACTCAGGTCTAGTGGTCTCTAGGCTAAAGTGTCATTGGGTAGGTCTTAAGTGAAGAGTGCAAACTGGGACTGTTTGACTCTTAATTAATTATACTGATAATGAATTTCCTCCCTGACTTGGTAGCCCCCAAATATAAGTGTGGTTGACACTGAACTGGGTGAACAATTACTGGTGTGATTTACTGCTTTCCATTTACAGCTTATTATTAACTGCAGTAATCAATGTTACAGTGGATGTTATAACATCCATAATAACATTCATCGTGTGCTTGCCAGAATTTCAGAGGTGGAGCATGTTGATGTTGAATTGCGTATCCCAGATGAAGTCGAAGAAGACATAGAAAATGTTGTCGAAGATGAGAAGACTGATAATGACTACCTGCTAACAAGATACAGGTTGAGGAGAGTCATCAAGCCACCTTAGAGACTTGGGTATGCAGATCTTATAGCTTATGCCTTAATCTCTGCAAGTGAGGTTCTAGACGAAAAACCTAGAAACTATAAGGAAGTTATGAGGAGTCGAAAGAAGACTGAATGGCTAAAGGCCATGGATGATGAGATGAAATATCTTCATGATAACAACACCTAGGAATTAATCAAGAAACCTTCTGGAGCCAAGTTAGTCAGTTGTAAATGGATTTTCAAAGTTAAGGAAGGAATCGAAGGAGTGGCGTCGAAGAGATACAAGGCAAGATTGGTTTCTAGGGGGTTCACTAAAAAAGAAGGTGTCGAATTCAATGATGTATTCTCTCCTATTGTGAAGCATATATCTATTCTAATGTTGCTTACCACAGTGGCACAATTCGACCTTGAACTGGAACAGATGGATGTGAAGACTGCGTTCTTGTATGGTGATTTAGATGAAACAATCCTGATGAGGCAACCTGAAGGGTATGTCGAAAGAGGGAAGGAAGATTATGTGTGCAAACTGAAGAGATTTTTATATGGATTGAAATAATCTCCTAGACAGTGGAATATGAGATTCGACAAGTTCATGACATGCATAAGTTTCATCAGAAGTCAGTTTGACCACTGTGTTTACTTTAGATTTTAATCGGGTAATTCATTTGTTATTTTGTTGCTCTATGTGGATGATATTCTAATAGCAAGCAACAATGTCGATGAGGTAATGAGGGTGAAGGCTGAACTCAATAAGAAGTTCGACATGAAGGATCTGGGAGTTGCGTTCAGGATTCTTCGGATTGACATCTAAAGAGATAGAAATCATTCGAAATTATGCTTATCTCAAGAGACATGCCTACGGAAGATTCTCGAAAAGTTTGATATATCAAATTCAAAGCCTGTTGTAACTCCGACAAACCCTCGGTTTAAGCTGAGTATAAATCAGTGTCCCAGTACTGATGTCGAAAGAGCTTATATGAGTAGCACTTCATATGCTAATATAGTGGGATCTTTGATGTATGTTATAGTCTGTACTAGACCCGACATAACATATGCAGTAAGTCTTGTAAGCAGGTACATGGCAAATCTTGGAAAGGCTCACTGGAAAGCATTGAATTGGATTCTAAGGTACATAAATGGGTTTCAGAATAGAGTCCTAATTTATGGTGGAGCCTTGGGTGAAGATAGTAAAGCAGCAATCGAAAGATATGTCGACTCTAATTATGCAGATTGTATGGATTCTAGAAAATCTATTTCTGGATATGTGTTCACTATGTTTGGGACAACAATCAGTTGAAAAACAACACTTCAGAAGGTCGTTGCTTTATCAACCACTGAAGCGGAATATATTGCCCTAACTGAAGCTATGAAGGAAGCATTGTGGCTTGAAGGTTTTGCAAAGGAGATAAAACTTCAAGGTCGAGTTATCACTGTTAAATGTGATAGTCAAAGTGCAATACACATGTCAAAGAATTTAGCCTATCATGAGCGAACCAATCACATTGATGTGAGATTACATTTTGTCAGAGGGGTATCGAGCGTGGAGAAGTCCAAGTGCTAAAGGTTTCGACAAATCATAATGTTGCTGATATGATCACCAAGACGTTGCCTAGTTGCAAGTTTTTTCACTGTATGCAGTTCATAAAGCTGCATGAAGAAAGTTAGTTCCTTGATGTTATAGAGTTAGATCCAAGGTGGAGATTTGTGAGATATTGGATTGAACTTTAATATGGTCGAATGATAGCTTCTGGTTCGACAAAAACTAAACATGAGGTCGAAGTCTGTTTGCATGTTGTTGCCACGAGTAATGTGTGTTGTAGTCGAAGTCTATTCTAACATGCATTAATCAATATTGTTAGGTTCGTTAGTATGTTGAATTGAGCCTTGCTTGTAAGCCAAATTGTTTAAGTTAGCTTGTACCCTAAGTTAGCTTGTAATAGGTAATTGTTAAATAAAAAACCCATTAGGTTAGTGTGCTAGTTTTCTTATAAATAGCATGCTAGTCTCTCATCTTGATATAAGGAAAAATAGGAAGATAAAATCTTAATTTCAAGAGAGAAAAGTTATTTTGTTATTTTTGTATACTTGTAATCTTGTTTTTAAGAGAAAGGAAAGAATAGCTGTTTATAACTAATCCTTATTGTTCCTTGTTGTTTTACATTGTTTTTTTGTTAACCCCTAACCCTTGTGTATTTTTTTATCATAAAAAAATCGTTTATATTTTATTTCAAGACATCTGATTCATAATTATTATTATTTATTTAAGAAAAAAATACATAATAATAAAATACACAATCAATTAAAGACGTGCAACCCGCCATCACATCACGCTTTAATTTTAAAATTACACTGTATGATAAATTAATAAATTTCTAATGAATAATGAAATCTACTTTATGTTATGATTGCACTATTTTTAATCTCTTTAATTAATTAAGTTTATCACCCGTAACTTATATTTATTGAAAATTCTTCTCCCAAACAAATTTCAACCTACACAAAAGTTACAAGTCAAGTTCATATCATTTTACTTAAAACTTTTACCACTCGAACTAATTAGTAATTACATATTGATAACTCAAAATAAACTTATAGTCAATATAGAATTTGACATAAAAAACATACCAAATTACCATTCTCATATGAAAAACAAAAAACATTAAAATATTAAAATATCACAATTGACAGACTGTTTTTTATTGATTATCACAATTATTATTTCTAAAATATTAAAATATTTTTAATAATATTTATAAGCTTGCAACAACCAAACCATATTTAATTTATTTTAAACTTTTCCTAAACCTACCAAAGCATAAACATAAGGAGAATCTCCGCTTGATATCCACCACATTTTCAAACAACCAAAACAAAACGACCCAAATTGAATTCTTCAAAAGTTCCCTTTTAACCGAATTTACTAATCAAAATCAATAATTGATTTCGCTAAGATGAATTCAAGTAAATTGATTTTGATTCTGTTAATCTCTCTAACACTGTTATCGTCTTCTTCGTCATCGTTGTTGTCGTCGTCATCATCGCATGCATTGATTCAACAGAACAATCTATCAGCTTATGATCTTCTCATGGAATACGGTTTTCCAATGGGTCTTCTCCCGAAAGGCGCGATTGGGTACACGTTGAACAGAGAAACAGGGCAATTTTCAGTGTTTTTCGAGAAAACTTGTAGTTTCACTATTGAAAGTTACACGCTTAGTTACAAGTCTACTATCTCGGGTGTGATTTCTGAGAATAGGCTGTATAAACTCAAGGGTATTTCCGTCAAGATTGTGATTTTGTGGCTCAGTATTGTGGAGGTTTCTCGTGATGGGGATGATATTGATTTTTCTGTGGGTATTACTTCTGCTAGTTTTGGGGCGGAGAATTTCCTTGATTGCCCTCAGTGTGGATGTGGATTCGATTGCGATAATCATCTTCGTTTAAACGGTGACGTTTCTTCAATTTAGGTTTTTTTTTTTTAATTGTGTAGTTGTATTGCATGATACAATTATTGAACTTTTCTGTTGCAGATTTTAGATCTATCTTTTTTTTGTGATATGCTTTTTAAAATTGAAATTAAATAATGATAGATGAATTTTATGAGGGTTTATTTTGTTTCCCCTATTGTGAATCATGACTATTTGGTGATTTGCAAGTACCATTTGCATTCGAATCCAAACTAGGTTTCCGGCATTATTCTATTGTTTTTTCATTTTTTTTTGTCTTGAGCATATATTTTTAATTTTTTTTTTGTAGTTTTTCTCTTTTGAGCTTAGTTTAGATTTATAAGGATGGATGAGAAACATACCATACCCCATGTTTCATAGAGCTAGCTCAGTTAACAGGTTGCATATGTATGTGTTTGCTATATTGCACCCCACGTGTTTGATTGAAATCCGTTGTTGTAATACTATATCACTCTACCAGTCTTGTATTGCATCAAACCAAACAGTCAAAGGGTTTAAATTTTCAAATGAAACTGATCTCACCAACATCAATTCCATGGTTTCATCATATACCTGTTGTTAAGCTTCTTAATCCTTCCTGAGTTATGAAATAGCGGTGCCATGGCCGGTATGGCAAATATATCGATGCAGTCTTTGCCACAATGGTAAATGTAGAACGATATTGTGGGTTTTTATGCTATAACGGCGCTGTATATCAGACGATATGGCGGGATCTTATGCTATACACTAATCCTACCGGCCTTAACCAAAAAGACCAAACCCATAGCATGATTTCATGGTTGGCTACGAATTGGGCAGCACCCCCTGCAAATTCAAAGTCCATCGATAACTGTAATGGTGAATAAGATTTTGCTATTGTTATAATATGTTGGATGTGCGTGTCACTATTTCATGTAACATCATATGTAGTGGACCTCAACTTTTATGAATAAGGGAAGGGGAAAGTATGAAAGCATGTAGTGGGCCTCAAATTTTATTGAAAATATGAAAGTATGGTGTTGCTGTTACTGTTGTGGAATTGGCGGACGTGTAAGACTTTAAAGATTTATCAGCTTCATATTCGCAAAATTTTCAGAACTTAATGGGCCTGGAAGATGTAACCAAGAAAAAAGAAGAAGAAATGGATCAAAATAAGATGAAGTTTTTCATGTTATATTGTTTTTGTCTTCTCTCTTTTTAAAAAATAGGGGAATTTTATATATAGGAGAGATAAAGATTTTAAGGTTTTGATTAAGTCAAGTAAAAAAAATATTATTTGATCAACTCAAATCATAAATAATAATAATGATAATAATTTTCTTATAAGATAGTTTATTACATTTCTCATTCAAAATTACAAGAGAACGTTAATTTAGAATTTTTGAAATATATATCAAAATTTACAACATTTCTCCACATATTTCAAAAGTTCGAAAATAATAGTGAAAAAAATTCATGTAGCAAGTTATATGAATCAAAGACATTTTCATATGTTAGAGGTCTAACATCCACATCACAATCTCATAATTCTTGTTGTTGATGTTGTGGTGCATTAATAGGCCATGCATGTGCTTGGTTATTTCATGCATGTGCTTGGTTATTTCTTGAGTGTTTTAGAGATTTTGCCAACACTCATATAAGTATGCTGGAAATCATACACCATCAATAAAAGATATGGAATTCATTAAAAGTTACATAAGATTATCCTCTCAGTAATGTGATGTCTAACACTTTCTCACTTACACCATTTGAAAAGGACGCAAGCAAAAATTAATCAAATATTTTTTGTGTTAATAAAACTAATAAGTGACTTGTTCTTACTCATGAACCTTTTTTATGAGATCTTAAATCACAAAGGTTTCCACTCAATGGGCTCACAAATCAATTTATTCCTAGAGACTTTGTCAGAGGATTAACTAGGATCATTTTGATATGACTTCACATAAATAGAGGATATCACCTCTTCATTAGCTAGTTATACACAAATGAGTAGGGGTGGCAAAATGGGGCCGACTCGTTGGACATGCCTGTTTTTCTCGCACTTTAGTGCTCGGCGGGCCAAGGGTTTATACCCTCACTCTCTAATGTGTCCGCCCCGCCCCGCCTTGTTTTCTTCGCGGGCATTTGCGGACACGATCATTTACATAAAAAAAATTCATTTTTAGGCTTAAAAGATGCAGCAGTGTCTACGGACTTTTCCCGCCCCGCTCTCACTTTTTTACGGGATGAGCCTACGTTTTAGGCCCATATCCTCAACTATAACCGCTCCGTCTCGCTTAATTTTTTGCAGACTTTTGCGGGGCGGACATGCCCGTTTGTCACCCCTACAAATGAGAAAGACATGAATTTTCTTTACTCAATCAATATTGACTAAGACGTCTCTAAGTCAATCAAACACACATATTTACTCAAGTTTATAACAAAAAATTTAGTCTCTACAATTAATTTTATACATATCTAACAAGAATATTATCTCAATAAAGATATAAATAAATTTATTTATGAATTTACTATACATATCTATTTGAATGACTTTCAAATGACAACACTACCATATTGAGTAAAGTTGAATATATTCACATATATAATTGATTTCATACAATTTTTTATAAGAATATCATAAAAATAATTATTTATTTATATATAAAAATTAATTTAAATTAAATTTTAATTAAATAGATAATAATTAAGTATTAGTTTATGTAATAATGATATCAATATCGTGCCATTTTTAATGGCATGAAAAAACACATAATCTCCATAATCTCTAACATAAAAGAACATTTGTATTCAATAATATTTTAATAAATATAATATTATATAATTAAGACACAAAATAGGAATTTATGATAAATATTAAAAAAAATATTGTTTAATGAAAATGAGACAATCCTCTTTTATACAGGAGAAAGAAAATTCAAAAAAAAAAAAGATTAATGTGCAAAATTAAATTGTCAATCAATCGGCATCTTGCTTCAATCGATTGAATGTTCTCAAAATAATTTATTATCTATAACATATATAAAAGGAAAACTTGGATTTGATGTAGCATATTTTTATTTCAATTATACCCTTTTGTTTTTTATTTTAAAATTCAACTTCTCTTTTTACTAACTTCTTTTTTATTAACTGTTATATGATAGTTTGCGTAACTATTTCATTCAATTTTTTTGTATAAAATCTAAATTAAAAAAAATAATAAACACACAAAAAATACGTTTATATTTTTAAACGTCTAAACATTAAAAAAGCAGATAGTCGGGCACGAGAGTGCCCGTCTGGACGCTAGTGATTTTTTAAAAGGAAAGAAATGATACATAGTCGTTATAAGTCATTAAGATGATGTCCTAATCACTTGATTAATCGTTTAGGCATTCTCCAATCGATTGACTCAATGCTCCAATCAATTGGATGACTTAAAAAGTTTTTCCAATTGATTGGCTAAGTTCCAAATTGTTTGGGTAGTTTAAAATACCTTTTAAAAGATAATGGACAGTTTCTTAATCATTTGACTCAATCTCAAAAATATTTTTAAGCTATAAAAAGGATAGAAAAAGTACTTATAAGTGTGTGTGAGTTTCCTTAGAACTTAGGAGTTACTTCTTTACTTTTACAAGACTCTGATGACTTAGACATACACAACTTGGCGAACTTTCACACTTTCTCTCTTTCATTACTCTGATGTTTCAAGATTCTTTTCCAGATACATCGAGTATATAAACACTTGTATCTTAAGTCTCTTTTCTTAATGAGGCTTGTGATGTTTGTCTAGTTAGGTCACCAACAACATGGATTTAAAACCTATTGCCACCGATTTCAACATCAATAACTATTGTCGTCATCAAAACTTTAGAGGGAATCTTTTGCGAGGCCATCAAAACTAATGAGTCATTAAGTTATGGTAATACTATATCACTATATAAAACTTTAGAGGGGATCTTTTGCGGGGCCATCAAAACTAATGAGTCATTAAGTTGTGGTAATACTATATCACTAATGAGTCCCTTTTTGATGATGACAACGCATATCTTTGGGATGTGGTTAAATATAACTATATAGTTATATAATTGGAGTAGTTAATCCCCCATATAAACTAGGCAAAGAGCATACTTTAATTTCCTTGAGAGTGTAATTCTCTCCCTTTGGCATGATAAAAAAGACGTAAAATAAGCAAAGCACATAGATCTCATGTAAAAGGAACAAGTTAATTCATAAAGATGGATAAGAGTCACCTAGAGTAAGGCATAAAAATGATTTAAGATCTTATTTCTTCCCATGGAAGGTAGCATCCAACATCGAAAACACTTGGTAGGTAAGCTTTGAAGAACTTCTTCCCCTTGATTCTTTCTCGAATAAAACTCAAAAGTATTTAAAGCTTTCTAAACCGAAAGGAGATTCTTTAGTCTACTTCTTTCTTGCTCAGATTTCTCCAAGATATAATTATTTTCACTTATGATTCTTTTGGACAACCTCTTTAGCCTCCTTGGGCCTTAGACTAGTATTGGGCTCTATGTGTTTGGCAGCACTTTGCTCCACAAACACTTAAAAACTCAAACTAAGGTTAGTAAGAAAATAAATTGGCTAAGTAATTAATAGATTACTTATTAGAGATTTAATTAAAAATTTCCAATTTTTCAATCTTTATTAAGTGTATTGCCTCAAAATCTCAAAATAACTTAAGAAAACTCCCCCTTTCGTCTGATACGGGAGTTGATCCAATTATATGACTGATAAATCCATTACAAATTTATCACCTTAACATTTCGCGATCGTGGTCATTGAATAATACCATCAACTTTATCACCTTGAGCATTTCATTGAAAAAACACAATCAATATCTTGATTAAATCAATCAGGGTTCACAAGTGCCATTGGGTAAGCACTTTATCTTATACACTTAAGATAGTATAAAAAGCTCTCCCATCTTTCAATTTTAATTTGCATCATATCATAAACATACTTGGACAAGGAATCAGTGGTAGCATCAAATCAACAAAGAGAGCACGCGCAAGAAAAAGATA